TTCCTTGTCGGCGTGGTATTCATCCTGTTTGGTGCCGGATTATTCTTTGTAAAACCAACTGGCTCTTCCAATCGTCGTACCCTCGGGCAACATCAGCCCTCCATGGGGCTTCTTGTCACAGTCATCACCTTGCCTCTTATTACAACGGAACTGCTGATTCTGTTAGCGGCCCATGCCTCGAGAGACGAGACCCCGCAATCCCTTAGAAACGTGTGGATGCTTAATGTGATAAAAGATGGGCAATATGTCGTTCAAAAATTAATTCAAGTCGCTGTGTACGCCTGGCTGAGGAACTCAAGAGTCCGTGATTATTACAAAGAGAACGCGCAATTTTATTTCAAAGTGTTGGCGTTTTTCAACTTTATGCGATGGGTAGACGCCCAAGTGAACTTAAACAAGACGGTTCTGAAAGATGATGCCCGATCGGTTTACGGAAACTGGTTTGACGTTCTCTACGAATTATACAAAGCGTTGCTGATAGATTACCGTCTCCTCTGCACGCTCCTTTTCCTTGAGCATTCCATTCAAATCAAAAACGAAACAGACGATCCTGAAGAACTCGTTGATGACCAATCCCTCACAAGGAGGGTTATGACGTCATCGCGCAGGCAAAACAGGAATATCGGGTTTATCGTCGGTATTTGCTGCCTTCTCGCACCATTCACGTGCGGCCTTTACTATGTCCGAAAGCTGGAACTTAGCGTTTACACGCGGGCTGTAGCTACTGTGTTAAACTCATTTTGTATTCTTGGGTGCGGATTGGTTCTCTTACTCAAGAACAACCTTGATTTTGACAAGAGGGATCAAGATCCAGCAGGGGTGAAAATTATGGTGAGTTGAAGAAAAATCAGTACAGCAGTTTTTACCATAGATTTAGCTTGACTGAGTATTTAAGGCTACAAAGAGATGAGTAGCTCTTAGATCTCTATGAGCGACCACTTATTTACTTGTAGATATCTAAACTGGTTTCATTTCAGTTTACTCGCGTGTAACATACTCGCAGACATGGAACTTATTACGCTGGAATTACAACCCACTTTCAGGATCTCACGCCGTAAGGCAAGAGAAGCGTATCTCATAGATAGAGGCAAAACCCTGTCACCAGACGGTCTGAACCGTCTTTTTTTTTTTTATTCTATAATCATTTACCTGTATATTATTCTATGTAGTATTTATAATTGTAGTTAATTATTAACCAGTTATGTAAATTTTAAATTTAAATTCAAGATATTTTCTCTCGGTTGCTCTAGCCTTGAGGAAGGCTAATTTTGTCAGCCGAAATATTGACCTATGATAAATCAGCCCTTTGCCGCAGTACCAGCCTTGCATTTAGTTTTGTTTCATACTTAAACAAGTTTCCCTCCCTGGTTTATTTGTTTGTCTAATTGTTTAATTTTCCAAGTAGGTTTGCTGTTTGGGGGCCGTGGCTTTTACAAGTTTGATGATCAAAGCAGCTCTCGCGGAATTCTGGTCAGTCGGTTATCACAACTACCTCTGGGCAGGGGTAGAGCTGGTTGCCCGCGGGCTCACCACACTGTTCCTGATGGTTTTGTATCTCAAAGTTCACGCGCGGGCCTTGCCTTTGAGAAACCCTGATGTGAGAATAAATCATTTTCTAGTGCCGGTGTTGATGCTTGGAATTATGGCCGCTTTCGCTTCCTCTTTGGTTGATGAGTACATTGGACCTCTCGATTTGAAAATAAGGTGCGTGAACTAACGAGAACGTTTCAAGCGTTAGCCAAAGTGGGGAAAGGACAAAGGGTGGGAGCCCGGAGGAAAAGGGGGAAAGAGGACCGTATAACAGGTGGGAGTTCTAAGAAGGCAGGAAATAGAACAATACGGAAAATCACCCATCAATGCTTTATATTCGCAACCGAAAATGGGCTAAGGAAGAGGAGGGGATTTGGACCCTCTGTGTCCCTCCCACCCACCCCCTCTTCAATTTGAAGAGGAAAGAACTAGTCTCCTGTGGAAGTGCTAGGATTTTATCCATAGATATAAAACTACGATAGGGAAAGAGGGGTTAAATGTCTTCAAAATGAATGAAAAAGGTATTCAACACATTGGTTACCGTCTAAGGCATCGACGATCATTGCTTCAACATTCACAGCAAATTTAACGCAGTTCACTAGCTAATAAATTAACCTGGAACGAAGGAATCAAACCACATAATAGAAACTAAGCTAAAAAGGGCACTTTTCATTTGTCAGTACTGACCGACCAACCCATTCGATTCCCATCGTAATGAGAATTTCACTTTTAATAAAAACTAACCATCCACATCAGTCAAATCCTAAATATTATGCACAAAGGAGATGGTTCGGATCATTATACTTTTCTGGGAAACTGCCCACCTACCCCATTCCCTAAGCTAACATTGACACTTACTTCTCACTTGGGGCAAAATGTTGCCTTAGGGGAGGGGTAGGTGGGCAGTTTCCCTTGGAAAGCGCCGAATCGACTCGAGTCGAATCGAAGGCCCCGGTTGTTCGAAAGGAGAACAACGATATCCACTAGTAGTGGATAAATCTCTATCCACACCGTAATTTTAAGGGAGTTATTATAACTCCAAAAATGGAGTAAAAATTTTAGGTACAGGATAACCCCTTTTTTGGGGTTATTTTAACTCCTAATTTAACTCCGAATTTGGGGTCATTTTTACTCTTGAAAAAGAGTTATTTTTACTCCCAGTCTTGGAGTTAAAATTACTCCGAAATGGGGTTACTTGTACTCCTTACAGGGGTTGTTTTTACTCTTTTTGGAGTTAATTTAACTCTGAAAGTGGAGTAAAAATTTTAGGTACAGGATAACTCCTTTTTTGGGGTTATTTTAACTCCTCAATATCTGGGGTCACTTTTACTCCTGAAAAAGAGTTCTTTAAACTCCTTTTTGGAGTTAAAATAACTCCACGAAAAATAACTCCACTGTAAGGAGTTAAATTAGCCCTACTAGAGGAGTTATTATAACTCCCTGAAAATTACAGTGCAGTTAATTGGTTTTTCTAATAATTATCCGCTGGATAGTGATTTGTCCTGTGGACAGCGCTATTTTTACAATAACTGAACGAATCCTCGCGCGCTGATTGGTTGAAAGCTATGGTCTACAAAGTGTAGACCATGGAAAATTGTGGTCGATTTGTTAACCACCTTTTTAACAACTAAGGTACGCTAACCCTGTGGAGAAAAAGGAAAAAGGATCGTTATACTTTTCTGGGAAACTGCCCACCTACCCCTCCCCTAAGCTAACATTGACACTTACTTCTCCCTCAGGGCAAAATGTCGGCTTAGGGGAGGGGTAGGTGGGCAGTTTCCCAGAAACGTATAATGATCCAAGAAAACTAAGTATTTATTACCGTACAATAATACTGCCATTTTATTTTGTCGTAGCTGTGAAATCAAGGAAGAAAGCTTGCAGATACTGCACGAAGCCGGCCTGCCAATGCTCCTTGGGTTTCTCATTCACGTGTGCTTACACTTTCTCTTCGTGCAGACCAGATTTGGTTTCATTAGGGTGTCGCACAAAAATCAGGAAACAAGCCCTCTGTTAACTAGTCGTCCAGAGTTTAAAGATGATCAACTTTACAGTGAACATCGTGATACTGTCATGTGACCATTTGTCTAAGAATCACAAGTAACTGACTGATAAATGGCGGGTGTAATTAAGACGTTTTCTGGTATATCTTAGGCCTCGTTTACACTAATGCGTTTTCGTTTGAAAAAGCGAACATTTCAATGCGTTTAGGCCTTCCGTCCGCACTAATGCCCATGAGCGTTTTCATCGAAAACGCATTGATTTGAAAACGCTCTTGAAAGTGATCAAAACGAAAACGTGTACATATTGTATTAGTGTGAACGGTCGAAAACACATCAAAAGAAAAATGATGACCGAAAATATCACAGGCGCGCTCGTTTGGAGCATGCGCATAGAGTTCAACTTACGTCACACCGCACAGTTCTATTGTTTTCGAAAGTTTTGGTGTGGACAGTCGTAAACGCATCAAAAAGGTGGTGTAGAAGCGAATCAGTCGATGCGTTTTCGATGACAATGAAAACGCATTCTTTTGAAAACGTATTTGTGTGGACAGGGCCTTGAACACGTCGAAACACGTTTTGAATGACTGTCCATTTCTTGCTAACGAAACCTAGCGGTTGGAAACAGTCAGCGAGCCTATAAAATGGCTTATGAGTGACTTTTTCGCCCAACTTCACTCTCGACGCTGGTAACAAAAAGAGAACATCGTTAAGATAACATGGGTTGGTTGAGCAAATGCTAATAATGTTTTATTTAACACCACCTGCTTAAACTCTGTTTTGATAACCACAGCTCAAACGTGAAATCGAAATACCCCTATCCGAAAACCTTTCAAACCTTTGATCACGTGATTATTCAACTCGAAGTCCTCAACATCTTCCTTATTTTAAACTCGGATCAACTGAGTTACAATATCTGGGTAACTGATAACCTACCCCTCCCCTAAGTCACAATTTTGCCCTAAATGAGAAGCAAGCGTTAATGTTGACTTAGCGAGAAACCTAAATTGCTCCATTTACTCTTAACCTTTTTGGTGTGTATTCTTATCAACACTGAACAATCTATTGCCACTTTAGTAACCTCTTTATAGTTAATCAGCCTGTACGAAACCTGATCTGCTTATCAGGAGGAACATCAAAGGCTGTACCGTCCGTTCAATGCGATGCCATCTGCGTTTTATTCATGAGTTAATCAATCTTTTCTCTCGTAAATGAAAGAAAATCTTTCCCTGAAGATGAGAATTCTATTTAGTACCCATCAGTTACGTCGTTCTTAGCCTTTTCCTTTTTTGCACAGCCTGTATAGCAATTAGTTTAACTAGTGACTCAAGTGAGTCTAAACACATTTTAGCCTACACACTAATGGCGGCTTGTTTGTTTCCAACACATTCTCTTCATGGCTTCGCCGCTTCAAGTTTGCGCTCTCGACAAACAAAACCGCAAGCTACGCAGGCTAGAGTTTGTTTGTTTTGTTAGTTTTGAAGCTTTACACCTTCATTAGCTTCTTTGGATACCGGTACATTTGTTTTTTTACTATTTTTATTATACATATTTCTTCAATTGATCTTGTCAAAACGTATGTATTGTAATTGGTTTCAAAAATAAAGAATAGTCCGCTCTCATGCCTTTCCGTAATTAGTGTAATTGCATTGCTGTTGATCCCATTGGAGACTCTCAATAAAGATTTACCTTTTTAATAATTATTTTACTGTCTTTACCTGATAATATTGTAAATGACAACCGTATGTATCTAGCCGGATTTTTGAAAACGTTACTACCAAATGGACCTTTCGCGTCCAACAGTTTTTTTTCGGCCAAAGTAGCCATTATAAGCTGTTATAAAAATTAAAAGTGCAACCATTCCTTTTTTTTCTCTTCTCGTTTACTTTTTCTTTCTTCCTCCTCGCTCTCTCTTTTTCTCCTTAGAGTAGAAAGAATGTAATGCAAAACGGGCATTGGGGGGAGGAGGGGGTGAGGGAGGGGGAGAATGCGGTATGCTGCTTAAAGAATCTAGATGCCGTAATGTGACGTAGAGGTTGTTCATTTGTTACGGCCAGGGTAGGAAAAGGGGGGGGGGGGCAAAATTCATAATGAATCTCTATGTTAGTTCCTTCTACAGAGCTTCTTAGAATAACCCAGGTGGCTACTTACCTATAATAGGTTTGTCGACAGAATGGGCACATATATTTCAGGAAAATTCTAATTTACACAATTTAAGCCAGTTAACAAAAATAGCGTAGTTTTGTCGGTTTCGTTTGCTTACTATAAGGTTTGCTGTTTGGGCGCTGTGGCTTTTACAAGTTTGATGAACAAAGCAGGTCTCGTGGAATTCTGGTCAGTCGGTTATCACAGCTACCGCTGGGCAGGGGTGGAGCTGATTGCCCGCGGGCTCACCAGCCTGTTCTTGATGGTTTTGTATCTCAAAATTCACTCGTGGGCCTTGCCTTTGTTAGAATAAATCATTTTCTAGTGACTGTGTTCATGCTTGGAATTATGGCGAAGTTTGTTGCCATTCTGGTCGATCAGCACAATGGATCTCTTGACAGCGGAGTCGGGTATGTAATTAACTGACAGCCAGGGAAAAGCGGTTACCCTAGGTACCAGGCGTTTTTTGTCGCGTGCGGCGGGATACATCGGTCGGCCGCTGACAGATCTTCGGCCGAAAGCCAAAGCTGCGCGAATGTATAAAGACTTGACGAAAACCGGACACCAGGCATGGAAAAAAAAAACAGTCTCTGGGACCCGGGGTAGATCTAAGTGGATGGAGCGTCTTTACTAACCACAAAAAGAGATACGTATTCAACGCTTCGTGCTCTTGCACCCAATTTCTTTCTTAAAATGATGTTTAGGAGCAAGATAGGTTTTATCCTTCATATTTTGGCGGTAAATTAAATAACTTGTTAACGCAAGCGTTCAAACCTGGGGAGATTTATTGTATGACTTGTCATTCTTGGATTCATGGGACGTGCGTAAATTATAATGGCGGAAGTGTTAAGTCAAAAGGAGGACAAAAACAAATGGACACCAGTAAAGAGTAAAAGATCAAAAATGGGAGCAAAGGGCATTGTGTTGGTAAGAATTACAACCACGATCATGCTCGCTAGCAGCCTGAGAAAACAGCCATCATTTTGCGAGGCCACCACTGGTTTTCCTGCGAAATGACGTCTGATGAACGAGCGAAGAAATTCCATACTGATGACATTTCACTGCCCAGATCTGGCGAGTGTTTCTGATTGGTTGAAGTAAATTTCCCAAGTAACACGACCAATCAGTAGCACTAGCCAGATCTGGGTAGCGATACATCATCAGTATGCAATTTCTGAGCTCGTTGAAAGTCATTTCGCGTGGAAACCGGTAATGGCGTCGAGAGATGTTGGCTGATTTTCTAAGGCTAGCTAACCATTTTCTCGAATTAAGATTATCGCCTTACTAAAAGGCCATGTTTTATTTGTCGTGGATGTGAAATCGAAGGAGAGAGCTAGCTTACACCTTCTGCACGAGGCCGGCCAGCCAATGCTCCTTGGATTTTTTTATATCCAGGGTTCCCGGAGGAGTACAAACTTCAACGAGGAAGAGGAATTACCCTTCATATTTGACCTTTTCAGAAATTCAGATAACGACTCAGCCGCGTGAACGTTTTTTCCTTTGCGTAACTCGCTAACTCGCGCGCGAAAATTGCTTATGGCCCTGTCCATACCAATGCATTTCGAAAACCTCTGTTTCACGAGAGCAAAAACTCGTCAAAAGCTGACGTCCATACTAGAGCCTTCGCTTTCATTTTGAGCGTCAATATCGCAAAAATTGAAAGTTTTCATTCTATTATCGGACGTCTGGACCTAATCTATGTGATCTTTTGCTGAAAACCATTAAAGATTAGAGACTAGCACTAATCTTCCTGTACTCTACAATTTTAAAGCTTGTGGATGATTGACTTGTCTTGAACGACTTCGTTTTTGCCCCTCCACATTTAACTGAAAGATAGTCCTAGAGTTTTTAAAAGTATTCACTCTTCGATAACTTCTATTTCTGGTCGTTTTATACTTAAGCAAGGTCGAAACAGTGTAATTTTACCCGTTTTCTAAGACTCGGTACAAATCATAGTTAATTGAGTGGAATGGTTATGAAACCCGTCAGACTCCTTTGTTATATGTTTTTGTGGACCTGAAAGTGCACAACGTTCAAAAGAATTCCTATCATTTTGATTGTATTGACCAATGAAAACGTTGCATTAATTTATTCCGTAACAATTTGCCAACAGAAAACAAAGGATTGTGCACTTTCACGGTGCTTTGAACATAAACTGCAGCACTGTTGTTTTTATCATTGATGTTTGCCGCTTTTCATAACCAGTCTCCTCTAATAACTATGGTACAAAGTTACCGTTAAGTATTCACTTCGAACATGTCGAACGCTGCAAAATAGTAAATTGTTATGGATTATCAAAACATCAGACTTTGATATTTTACCATAGTTTATTCCTTCTCAATCACAAAGACATATTAGAGACACAGGAATACAGGTCTAACACAGCCGTAAAGCAGGCGCAATGTCGACTGAATTAATGATTTTTTCAAATTCAAGTATCGAAACTAGTAAGAGATAAATCTGTGCTTGGATTCAGTTTCTTTCGCGCATCAAATTCGTCGATATAATTGAACTTCCAGACATTTCTAGGCTAGTCATGAAACCTGGTTTGATGAATTTCTTTGTTTTAATTATGACTCTTGAAATATAAAAGTTAGTGAAGTGCTTTTGGTAATTTTTCAATCGCAGCACGCGATCGACTGTTGATGGTTTGTAATTACTGAAGGGCGAATTCATTAGGGACAGAAGAAGAAGCAAAAATGATAATTTCAGTAAAATCGAGAGTGAATTTATAATTTATTTTCCGGTGCCATAGTTTGCTCCACCAGCTTTTACGAGAATCTGTTTTACATGATCAAACTGGAGTTCCTCCTTGTGACTAGTGAAAATTTCCGCCGCAAAGTTCTGCAATCAAGTCAGAAAGTATAACAATTAAGCCTTCGATAGAAAATGTCTTAGCATTTAAAATCTAACGAAAGAATGTCCCGACGTTTCGGCGACATCGTGACGCGATCATCAAAGAATGGAAATAAATACGAGTTCATCCGGCAAAAAGGAGTTAAAGTACTCTAAAATTTGTATGGAAGAGCAGATTTACACAAAGACTTTATCGACTTTTAGCAGGGATTGAATCAGTTTGCACGTTCAAAGGCGGTCTTTGTTTGAACGCGCATTTATTTCCATTCCTTAAAAATGGTGTCATGATGTCGCCGAAACGTCGGGACATTATTTCGTTAGTTTTTAAGTGTTGTAGTTTTCCAACTCACTATTGATACAAAATGTGATGGTGAACTTCAAGCCTGGTGAATACATGAGAAAGATGTTTTTTTTTTCAGTCTTGACATACACGGTTCGGAAGAAAATATCCGATTACTTTCAACAGGAGCCGAACTTATGAGCCTATGGTAACCAGTCCAGATGCTCTACCACAGAGCTACAGGGGACTTGTGGGAGCTCAGGCCTCTAAACTAGGTTCTCGCGAAGAGTAACATTAAGCCCCTGGGGGGGACTGCCTTATATGGCCTATACGGGGATGTGCCGCTGGACAGGGTATGGTTTTTGACCTCTCTGTCCTAAACAGGGTATAAATTTCGGGCGAGTTTGTCCTAATCGGGGTACCGTATATGATTAGTTCGAGTCTGTCCTCACTATAAGCGAGGATGAAATTTGTTTGTACTCCAAGTATACAAAACCGTTGACTATAACGTGAATTTGATCTATTGGAATTGCCAATAAATGGCTTTGAAATAAGACGGCACCCATTTTGTCCTTTGCCCTAAACAAGGTAATAAATTTGAGGGTGTTGTCATAAACAGGGTACTGTGTATTTTAGAATTTTTTTTGTTCTGAACAGGGTAAGGGTTAGCTATACCCAAATATTGGTCAAATATCCTCCCCCAGGGATTACGCTTGCAGCTCCTCACTAACGTCGCAGACACAAGCATAACCGTAAGCCGTAAGAATGCCGCTAACCTGAGAAAACACCCGACATTTCTCGACACCCGCGAAATGACGTCTGACAAGACGAGCGCAGAAATTCCATACTGCTGACGCGTCACTACCCAGATTTGGACAGTGCTTCTGATTGGCTGAAGCAAATTTCCCGCGCGGCACGACCAACAATAAGCATTACCTAGATCTGGGTAGTGACGCATCATCAGGTATGGACTTTCTGCTCTCGTTTCTCAGACATCATTTTAGGAGAAACCTGTGGTTGCGTCGCGAAATGTCGGCTGTTTTTTCAGGCTAGAATAACGCGAGCATAGTAAGCATATGCGTATTTGAGGGCGACCTTGACATTAACATAACAAGAACGCAAGATTTTGATATTCTTATGCTTATTTGTTTGTCAGGGATGTCCTCACTAGCGCACAAGCTCTTTATCCTCACACTTGTGATCGCGCCACCAGTGCGGAACAGGCTTAAAGTCAATATCGACCCTCGAGAGCAATTCTCCTATAAGATCCGTCTCTTTGCTTTACGCCCGCTAGGGGTTGGGGTGAAGACTCGGATGACATTGTACACTAGGTTTTATGACATTACTTAAGGGGGAGTTTACGGGTAAGAAATGCACAAAAAAGCCAGGAGATAACCGAAACATGATTGCTATAAACAACATATCCAAAAAAAGGGGAATAAATAACCTGCGCGACGTTGAAAAAGAGAAGAGGATGGTGGGGGGTGGGGGGGATTTGACACGCCAGAACGTGAGAAAGCGAGAACGTGAGAACCCAAGAACGTGATGATAACGCGAGAACTCCAAAAACAAAACAAGTTCATTACCTGGATAGTTTGCTTGACAGAAGCTTTGTCTGTACTGACTTTGGCCTTCTTTAACGGAGGAACAGTTTCACTGACCCATGTTATGAGAGCAAACTTTGCTCGCTTGCTTAACTCGTCACCAGTCTCAATCCTGACATAACCGTAGGCTCGTTCACCCTCTGCGTAATAAGATTAGTTAGAATGAAAATTCGCCTTACAAATCCAGCCTGCGCCACAGACGGTACCAAACTACTGGTTAAGTCCGTCTGCGAAACAGTCTTCGTCTTCGTCTTCGTATAGTAAACGTTACTACAGGGGCGGATCCAGGATTTTTTTTAGGAGGGGGTGCACTCGTCTCTTGCTCAAATTCAACACCAATAAACCACTTTTTTTTCCCGCAGAATACCAGTTGTATTAGAAAACCGCCGGTCATCTCACGGTGGGGGAGGGGGGGGGGGGTGCGCACCCTCTGCACCCTCCCCCTAGATCCGCCCCTGTACTATGGACCTAACGAAACTACGACGGCGACGGCAACGGGAACATCAAAAAAGCAACAGGTTTAATGAGCGAAACAACAACTTTGCACGTGTATCAGGCTTTTTTGTACATTTCTTTACCATCCCTGCACAACGACGAGACATGGCCAAATTTTACGTTCACTTAAGAACGGGGACGGCAAGGCCATAAATTCTAGCATCTCCGTCTGAACTCGGGGGCGGTCCCCTCTCTTCAGCTCCAACATAAATTCCCTTCTTTTCAGTATCTGGGCGACTTAGAATAATCGACAAAAAGTTAAAGGATTTTTCAACGATGTTTTCATGGAGGTCGCCGTCGTCGGATCGTAAGGTCCTAGGTAAGGAGGCAGCGTGTCCGAGTGGTCAACAAGTCGGACTCGATCGCTATTCGGCGAGAATTAGAGGGGTTTGAGTTCCGCTCTGACCACTGGCTGGATTTATTCATCGATCAGCCTTAGTTTAATCCTCCGTTATGCTTGTAAATAGCCAGCTCGTTGCTTCCAGCCAGCTGGATTTTCTTTATTCCGTTACCATATATTCGTATTATTTTTTGGAAATTATTTTGAAGAGAGTGTCTGTGAACTAGTCTGTAACTGAACTAAAGTGCACCTCAACTATGAACAAAGCCTTTAGCAGTTATAAAACGTGAGTTTTGTGGAAGGCATCCCTAAAAAGGGAGGGGAAATCGGGCGCACAGGAGGATGGGGGTTCCGAATTAATTCCTTCTTTTTCTCTTCCCCTAGTTTCAAACGTCTGTCATGCAGGCTACAAGACTTTCCTGCGTTACACCAGACTGAGAAAACACAAAGAAATGAGATCGAGGTTCGGGCAGACAAATCACTGTGTTGTCAGTCCAAGCCTCGAGTTGGTGCTTTGTTTATAGAAATGCGGGAAAGGTCTACTAACGCTAGCCTGCATGTGTAGCAAGCGTTTCCGTGTGGTTTCGGAACAAAGAAAGACCGAGGAACGACGAAGAACGGGATTTTCGGTTTTGGCCGCGCGAAAAATGAGAGAGCCCCTCCCCGCTCTTTAACTCGCTCCATTTTTCGCGAAGTCTTTGACTCTCGTTCCTCGTTCGTTGCTCCGAAAACGCGGAAACGCTTGATACGCAGCCTATATTAACGCTAGTAGAAGTTGTCTCGGGGGATAGTTCTAGTGCCACACGTTTTTAACAGTGCAAGGAACGACGAAAAGTAATGCTTATTAAACAAATACGATAAATATCTGAGGCTATAAAATATACAAACCTCCAAATTTTGACAAAAATTCCTCATAATCTGTCCCTGATGCTTCGAAAACGATCGTGTTGTCTTCGTACTTAAAAACAGCCCTAGCGGAACAAAACAAAGAAATACAGTCACAATGCCTTTTAACTGACACCTACAGTTGGGGGAGACTGGAACGAGAAATACGCAAGCGCGCCCGCGTGATTTATAGTGATTTAGAGATCTATAAGGAACAAAACATACGTACTGGTAGAGATCTAGCAAGGGCAGAACAAATTCTGCGTGGTGAAATTGCGACGTGTATATGTTAAGGTTAAGAAATTTACTGAGAATAACGAAAACGTGACAAAAATATTCTCTAAGCTGTGCGACATTTGAGACCCATTTTTTGGCCTACCATAATAGTCATAGTCATCACGCAAGGGTTGAGAGACAAGACAATAGGCCATTTCCGAGTTAAAAAAAATCTCACTTTCAAAGCGAGGCAAAGTGCGAAGCCATTGATATGAAAATGATTTTTAATTATGATGCAAAAAAACTCATTTTCACAACAAAGGTTTCGCACTTATACTCGTCTCGAAAGTGAGATTTTTTGGAACTCGGAAATAACGATGGCCGGCAGTCAGTGTCACAAACCAGGCCAACGCGTCCAACGCCACCCTTTCCTGGCTTGCAAACACAGACGTATTTCCGGGAGAAACGACCACCGGAAATACGTCTGTGTTCGCAGGCTACTGTTTCCGCTTTCCAAGCCATCTCTCATCGCTCTCCGCGCGGTACTGGAAGCGGACCATTAGGTCCCAGCAGGGGAGGTGAGGAGCTACTCAGGTTCACGTCAAGTGGCCTTGGCCTTTCACTCTGATTTGGGGGCTTCTCCCTGTCACTGTTTACCTGAGTCCCGTCCCGCTGTATTAGGAGCCATTAGATGAGGCATTCTAGAATTCAAAGTTTTTCAAATTTTTTTGGCTGCTCACCGTGTATGTTTTTATTTTCGTATTTATTCATTCGTTTATGATTTGATATAATAAATCCTGATTTCAAATCATAAGTTTATGATTTCATATAATAAGTTCTCATTTTAAATCATAAGTTTATGATTTGATATAATAAATCCTGATTTCAAATCATAAGTATTATGATTTCATATAATAAAAATCATTATTTGATATCAGTAAAACACATTGCAAAGACCCCAGAGTCTCCGAAAAACTTTAAACTCTTGTTCTATGACGAACTGTCTTGTCGCCTTTGGAAGGTGAAGGGGAGGGGTTTAAACCCCGTTCTAGATATGGGCAATTTTTTGGCTGCTTATACATCACCGTGTATGTTTCTATTTTCGTACAATCTTCCCTTCTCCACCCCGTTTAAACTTTTTGGTATCTATAGGCCTTCTCCCATAACATTCTTGGTTTAATTATTATCCGTACTCCTCAATAAATAATCCCTTTCGCGATAATATTGCATTTGAAAAGTTTCATTGATGAGTCTTATTGCTTATTCTAGGATATTTCTGGAACGGAAATAACGTAAAAGGGATTGACCAGTTGACCCAAGATTTTGAAAATTTGAGACGTCTTTAAAGATCTTTGTTTTTGAAAATAAACAATGACCCTTTAAATAAATAACTCAGCTGTTAAAAGCGCGTTTACCTTTGTATTACATTTCAACCCCGATAAAAAGTTCAGGTTTGTAAAGGAAAAACCAAAGTAAAATACTCGCACATCGCCAATGTCAAATATTTTTTCGAATATCCTTCACTAGCCAATATACACCCAATTTAATTATTTCCGCAATCGTTGCAATTTCCTTTGAGGCTATTTAACATTTTCAAACGGCGGCGTCAGATTATAATTCCTGGCGTACAGAGAACAACCCATCATTGCCAAATATTTTACTTCATTTCTTTTTATAAGTAATTATGAATATGCAAGTTCCTATTAAGCATTCGTATTGAACAAATAAATAGCAATATTCGAGATTACTGTCGCTAGCTTTGTGATGATCCTTGAAAGAGGCGGTAACCTTCCATTATGCAAGAAGCCGGTTGATCATTAGTTCTTTTCGCCGGCGTTCGGTAACATTCGTATTAAAATGGACAAAACCTTCAACTTACCAGTTAGTATCCACTTTGTCGTCCCTCACTTCGAGATAAGCTTTCTCCATCGCCGCTTTATCAACCGAAGCCATGATTTTTTGAAGATAAAACTGCCGATTAGGAACTTTTCACGTGCGCGTTGATGGAATATTCGAAGTGATATGATCGGACAAAAGATGCCTCAGGATATTTTGTCACTTAATGTTTGTGACGTCACTTATAAAGTGATACTAGATCTAGACAGTACGTGCGAAGTAATTAATGATATTAATGATTTGTGACATATAATTGGGAATTTAATAATTCTTTTTCTCCAGATGGATTAAAAAAAACTACTAAACTAAACTATTTATTTCATTCAATAGCTCTGATCCATTCGAATTCGTCCATAAGACACTGGAATATTAATTTTGTTTAATACTGTACAAAGTGATGGAAAGGGGTCTGGATGTTTCCTGATATTCGTGAAAGTCTTTCAAATGCTCTGTGGACAAGGCTGTGTGGTCATGGGTTCCTTGTTGAAGCCGTCAGGCCATTTCCGAGTGGTGAAATACTTACTCATTTTCACAGAAAAAAAAAAAAAACAGGTTTTGCTTGAAGCCTCGATTTGAAAGTGAGAGTTTTAGAACTCAGACGAATGGCCTTTTTGTAGATTCCGGCCTACCCTGCCAGGAGCCGATTACCAAGGAGTAAATGGCTTGCACGTGTGCAAGAAATTTTTTTTATGTGAAAACTTTTTTCCTTTTCTTTTCTTGTATTCTCCTTCAAAAGATTTTTGATTGTCTCTA